CCCCCCGCCCCGCCATCACCCCTATGGCCACTGTTCCAGCCCGCTGTGGGGGAATGTGTGCCTGGGGCTCAAGCGTGCTCCCTGTCATTCTAGGGGCGCTGCAGTGAGTGGGTGGGGTGACGGGGTCCTTGGTGCTGCGGGTGGCAGGTGGCAACTGGGTCAGATGGGAAGCCTTGCTGGTCTCCGGGAGCCTGTGTGAGCCACTTCCCCTCCCCAGGAAGGCAGTAAGAAATGCCCTTCCCTTAAAACACTGCTCAGGATGGGCACAGGGGCTTTGAACACCGCCTGCCCTGTGCCCCCCACGCCACCTCCCCCACCCCCACCCTGGTAGAGCTTGGTGCCATGTGGCCAGACACCCATCCCTGTAGTCAATCACCCCCTTGGGGTAGACAGCAGCTCTAGATTACTCCTCTCCAGAGACCCCTTCTCAAGAGGAAGTAGCCTCCCAGGGGCCCCCGCTCCCCAGTGCTGAGGGCAGGCACACTCAGGACCCAGGAGTCCTGCTGTCAGGCGTCTCCGAAGAGGATGGGTGCCTAGGGCTTACGGGCTGGGCCCCACCTGAGCGAGGAGTGGGGAAGGCCCGAGGACCCGGGCCTCCACTTGAGCTCCTCCTGGGGGGGTGGGGGGACCAGAGCTGAGGGAGGAGCTGAGGTCACATAAAGGTCAACTGTCTCATGAGCAAAGCCACGCAGCACCCGAGGCAAGGCCCAGCCCCTAGCGGCTCCTGAGAACTCTCTTCCTCATGCCTGGACAGCTAGGGCGGGCCCAGGACTAGCCCGCCCGAGGGACACAAGGGTGAGCCTGACCTCCAGTCTGCAAGGAGCGAAGGGGGTGGGGTGACATTCGGGTGGGGAAGTCATACCTTCGCACTTAGGGTGAGTCAGAGCTGACCCTCCCTGTGGTCAGCACCCAGTACAGCGTCCAACCTGCCCAGTTGACCCAGGCTGGCCAGGCAAGCGGGATCCTGAGATGTGAGTGAGCCAGCGCCCCACCCCCAGTACACTAAGCTCTCTGGACTGAGAGGTTGCGGCCTGGGACTTGCTCCCCCTTTAAAGTGGCACCGCCCCGGGCCCCCATGCACCCTGCAGTCCACAGTTGTGACCCAGGCCGCGCAGGGGAGGTCAGCCTGCAGATAAGAGGTGGAGTCTGGGAGCCACCACGCACGGCCTGATGTGGGGCCTCATCTGCTGCAGTGGGTATTGGCATGTGCCGTGCCCCCCCTGGGTGGCCCGTCCTCGGTGCCTGGCAGACCCCAGCTTTGAGACAGGCTGGCAGGTGGATGAGGTGGATCCGTGGGTCGGGTCCAAGGCAGTGGTCCCTCCCCTTCACCACCCCACCCCCCTGTGGTCACTCCTGGGCCTACGCCAGCCCTGCTCTCCGGCTCTGTCGCCTTGTCCATCCCACCCCCTCTCAGCAGAAGAGAACAAGGGGCAGATTGGGGCAAGAGTTCCCAGGACCCCTAAGGGCCCTGCGCCTGCCAATTGGTGGCCCTCTCCCCTGGGCAGCAGGTGACAGGAGGCGACACAGGACATGCTGACTGTGCACCCAGGGAAGCTGGAAGGGCCACGGTGGCTGGACTCGAGTGACGCCAGCCTCCCCAGCCTCCCCAGCCTCCCCGGCATGCGGCACCGTGGGTGGTGTGGCCCATGGCGTCCTGCGCCTTGTTCTCAGAAGCTGGTTGACATCTGGTGTCCTGGTGGCGGTGGCAGGAAGTGGGGTGTCATCCCGTCTCTGCTCCAGTGCGCGTGGCGATGCTGGTGGTCTTAGCGCTGCCCTCAGGATGGCCCCCTGTAGAGCCCAGAACAGCCCCGAGGCAGGCGGCCTGGCTCTACCATCCACCCCCAAGGGCCACCCTGCTGGAGTGGGCCGCACATGGACCGGAGGGTCTGGGGTGCAGACAAGGGCCCTCCTGCCCCTAGACCCCTGCGGATGCCTGTCTCTGGCAAGCCTCCCTCAGCCTCTGGCCCCTCCCCTGCAGGTCACGGTCACCACCATTGGCTATGGGGACAAGGTACCCCAGACATGGATCGGAAAAACCATCGCCTCCTGCTTCTCCGTCTTTGCCATCTCCTTCTTCGCGCTGCCTGCGGTAGGTATGGGCGTCCCACCCAGCACGCCCCTTGCCCGTGGGTGACCCCAGATGGGGTCCTGAGATCCAGGGATCGGAGGAGCTCTCTGCACGTGCCTGCCACACCCACCCCAGCCAGGAGGTTTTACATCTCCTGGTTCCTGAGTGTGTGTGCACAGGCGCGCCGAATGTACATGCACCTCGGGAGTTGTGGGAGTCCGTGTCCTGCACGTGTCACACACGTGTCTGCGTCTGCCACATGCACATCCATGGCACCCATGTCCATGAGTGTAGTGTGTGTGGCTCAGTATGGATGTTCCACATGCGACCTGGCTTCCCCACCCCTAACCCCCAGGCCCAGTCTGGCCTGGGTGGGCTGGGTTCCCAGCAGCCCTGGGCAAAGGTCAGAGTGGCCAGCCCCTGGCAGGGTGGACAGCAGGCCGAAACAAGTGCCCTCCCCCCCCTCCCCCCAGGGTATCCTCGGCTCCGGCTTCGCCCTCAAGGTCCAGCAGAAACAGAGGCAAAAGCACTTCAACCGGCAGATCCCAGCGGCTGCCTCCCTCATTCAGGTGCGCCTCCGCCCACTGCAGCCTGGGGACGGCGGCCAGGGGGGCAGTGGGATGTAGAGCCTGTGGCCCCGGGCTCCCACTCCTCACCCAGTGGCAGCTCTGCCTGGTGCGGACGCAGCACTAAGGCCCCTCTGCCCACCCCAGACGGCATGGAGATGTTACGCGGCCGAGAACCCCGACTCCTCCACGTGGAAGATCTACGTGCGCAGGCCTGCCCGCGGCCACGCCGTGCTGTCCCCCAGCCCCAAGCCCAAGAAGTCCGTCATGGTTCGTGCCGCTCACCAGGGACGGGGCAGGTCGGGCTGTCTGAGTGAGGGCCAGGTTCCCAGGTCACAGTGGCGAGGGGACCTTGGGCTTTCCCTTCCCTGCCTGGGCTTCCGAAGGGTGTCCTCCTTCCCCTCTGCCCCGCCTGTTGTCCAGTGAGCTGTCTGCTCCCCCTCCCCACCCCCCACCCCCCGAAACCAGGGAGGGCAGAGGGCTGGCGGGCGGCTCAGGGCCCAAACTGCCAACCGTTCCAGGTGAAGAAGAAGAAGTCCAAGCTGGAGCGTGAGGACGGGCTGAGCCCGGGGGGCGACAAGACGCTGTGCATCCCACAGATCACCTGCGACGCAGCCTGCGAGGAGCGCAGGCCTGACCACAGCGCCCTGGATGGCTTCGACCCCAGCGGTGAGCGGCCAAAGTCCCTTGGTTCCCCGGAGGGCCCCCCTCCCATACTGGCATCTCAGCGGCATCCCGAGGGGCTGCCCCCGACACTTCTCACCCGGTGCCCAGTGCCAATCCCGAGCTTGCTGGGCTCCCAGGGGCCTTAATCTTGGGTGCCCTTCACTGCCAGCAGCCCACCACACTGCTCTGTGCCATCCTGCCCCGCCGGGTCCTGCGTCGCTGCCCGGGCTCTGGGCTTTCTCTTCAACAACAAACCAAACACCCCACCCTGGCTCGGAGTACGCCCGTCCGTGTGCCTGTCTGTGTTCGGCCTGGGCAGGTTTCCCCGTCACCCCGTCACCCTGAAGCCTGGGACTCAGTGGCTCTCAGGGACTCTCCGGTGTGTGGAGAAACAGTCCCTGCTGTGCCTGCCTTCTGGCAGGGTGACAGGGGTGGGGTAGGGGGGCGGGTGGCAGTTAGAAATGGGCTGATTTTCTGGGAACAGTACGTGGACCTGCGACTCCCAGCTCCTCTCTCTTGGCTGGACTGTCCTTCTAGCCGGTGCTCTCTCCCTCTGTGAGGCCGGAACCCTTCCCTGACTCCAGTGTTTGTTTCCCGGCTGGGTGTCAGGTAGTGGGCTGTATTCATCCCACCAAGACTTGCAGGGTGTCATCTTCCCCAGGAACCCGAGGGCATCGTGTTTGGGGCAGCAGTAAAAGGGAAGGCCCTCCATGAGGCGGAGTGGCGCTGTAGCTGCACCCACGGGCTCCGGCACAGGAGTGGCGGTTGTGGGGACTGCGAGGACCAGGCGGGTTTGTGCTGTGCTCGGCTGCTGTGGGTTGGGCCGACTCGACCTGAGCGCCGTGTTGTTAACCCGAGGGCTCTGCTCAAGTGCGGAAGGTAAATGCGTGCCACCAGATCCCACCTTTCCTATTCACGGATTACACCTGATCGTGCCAGAGCCTCGTGGCATTGCTCTGATGGCACCTGGGAACGTGTCGGGTTGCCTCTCGTGCCCAGCCCTCTGGCAGCCATGCGCACATGGGGACCCGAGATGTGGACTGCAGAGGAGCTGTGTAGGGTGCAGGAGCGAGGGAAGGAGGGAGGGGCAGACAGCCGATGGCAAGCTGAGTTCCTGCAGGAGAAGCTTCCCTCGCAGGCTCTTGGTTACCCGCCCAGTTGCTCCTGCCTTTCCCAGCCTATTCCCCTGCCCTCCTCCTGGCTGGCACACAGCAGGTGAAGGTGTGCGGAGGTGGCACAGAGGACTGGGCGGGCAGGCTATGGTCCCGCCCCCCCCTCCTCCAAGCTACCTAGGGAGCTACGTGAACACTGGCTCCCAGCACCATCTCCTCCTCCGGCCCTGCAGGGTGACCACTGGAAGCCCCCCTGTCCTCCAGCCACAACCATGCTTTCCAGCTGGGGCAGCGCAGCCCCAAGTCTTGCCCAGTGAAAAGATGGTCCCTCTCCCGTCTCCAAAGTTTGGGGTGCCCCCCATCATCGTGAAGCAGCTCATGGAATCCACAAAAGGAAGGAGGAACCGCCCCCGCTCCCCCAGCCTGCGAGGCGGCAGCTGCTAGGATGGATGTGTGCCCGCCTCGCGCTGAGGCACGCACATGCCTGAGCTGACTTTCCTGGGTTTTCGTTTTAAGTGGGGGTAGAATTCAGAAGCTGACTTACGAGAACACTAAAACTGACAGAGGACATCTCCTCAGAGCGAGCAGAGCCAAAGGCAGAAGACACAGCAGCCTGGGGCAGGGCGTGAGGGGTCAGGCGGCCAGCGAGGCAAAGTTGCCCTTAAGCTCTCCTGTTTAGACGTCTTGGAAGACGTCAGCAAGTCAGGGCACAGGTGTGTGTGGAAATGAAGACCCACTCCTCCTGTGGACAATGTACCCCGCCCGCCCCCAAGATGCAAGCGGTAGAAGGGTCTTCCTAACCTGGGAGAGATCCAGTGTCCACCTGCCACCAGAGAGAAGCCTAAGACAAAAAGGGTATCGCCTACAACACTAACCTGCAGAGTGACGCACCGGGGCCTGGGGCCAGAGGGCTCAACGCCAGCCCCCCAGCCCCCCTGGATCGGGGAGGAAAACGGGTGTCGAAAGGGTAGACAAAGCGGAGACTCAGAATACAGAGGCAGCACCTCTCAGTACCAATGACAACACCACGCGCTGAGCCCCCACCTGTGAGGGCTCTTCCAACACAACCGCACTGCGACAGATGGCCGATGGCCAGCAACCAAACCACCCGATGGCCAGCAACCAAACCACCCGGGGCTGCCACTGCCCCGCTCCCGCGGCACCGCTGTGCAGGAACGGGCTGTTCCCTCGTGGCTGGAGGCGGCTGGAGTGGGTTTCCCCTGTGGGTGGAGTCCCAGCATGGAGAGGCCACTGTTTAGAAACACAGAAATGTACCATGATTTGACAGACACTGGCTGCTCCCCACTGCCAACAGCCACTTTGGCATGGCCCCGGTGGGAAGCGGTGTGTCCATGGCTGAAGGTCCAGCCCTGCCACCTCGCAGGAGAGGCAGGGGCTCAGGCAAAACCAACCTATGTGGATGTTGACAGTGCTTTATTCTGAATGGCACCCAAATGGGACAGCTCCAGTGACCGCCCACCTGGGGACAGTTTTTAAATGTTGGTGTACGCAACAGACACTCACCCCCGAGGGCTGCCTACTGGCAGCACATCCACCCTGACTCCTAGCAACACGTAAGGGCAGAGGAGGCTGCTTGCCCCCAAGGACCCCGGGTGTCCGTCTCTCCCTAAGCACCCAGCTTCTTCAGGGCTGGTCAGGGAAAGTCCCAAGGACTGCCTCCCGGCTGGAATCCGGGGAGTCTCTAATAAAGGCTGTCTGAAGAAGCCAGAGACCCCCAACACATGCGTCAGGCCCCGGTCGGGATGGAGGCTAGGGTGCCGGTGGAGGGAGGAGGGGGCAGAAAGGGCCAGCTGCTAGCTTGGTGGTGGGCAGCAGCCTGTCAGCTGAGTTGGCTGGGTAAGTCCGAGCTTATCCCACTGGGCCCTGCAGACAGGCATCGAATTCCGAGTCCATTAGACACCAGCACAGCCCTTTCCCAGGGGCAGGGATGACAAAAATGTTCCATGGCCAAAAACAGAAATGCCCCAGCCACAGCCACCCCAGGGGGGAAGGAGTGCATCTCATAAAACACCGCGGGAATGGCAAGCATGTGCACGCGGCCCTATTGCGGAGATAGGAGATAAGGAATATGTATTTTTAAAGCTGCCTATCGCGTCACAGAATGCCAGAGGCTCTTGAAAACGCGGAAATACATGCTGAGCCTCAGTCGCCATGCTGCGGGGGGGACGGGGGCGGCTCAGCCCTGTCCTTAGCGGGTCAAGGGGCACAGGCTCTCTGGAGATGGCGAAGGCCATTTCAACCCAAATCACAGGAGCGTGTGCTACACAGGCCCACACAGCACCCCCGGGAGTGGGGCAGGGGGCTCGCTCTCGCTAGGATACGAGCTTCAGCAGCTGGACTGTGTCTTCCACAGCAAAAAGGCGTCGGCAGGCCCTGTGCCGAGTTCTAATGGCGCCATTCGGGCTGGTGAGCCACCTCGCTGGTGCTGACCAGGGGCACTCCTGCCATCAGGTCCCAGGAATGGTGGCCGCCTCCATGCAGGCAGGCTTGCAGGAGCAAAGAATGTTTACAGAAGGGGAGAGCTGGGGGCCTGCTCCCACCTCCTGGATCCCTTTGAAGAACATCTTTTCTTTCATGGCAAAGCAGAGCTGGGGGCTGTAAATCCATCAGGCCTGGTGCAGGCTTCACAGGCAGTCTCTAATCCCAGTCTCATCTCTCATGGGTAGTTTGTTCTGAGCACTTGACTGCGTCTGTCTCGGGGAAGCTCCCTTGTTTACTGCTGGTTCCTTTGAGTCTCGGTTTCAATTCTGCTGCCGCTCACAGCCACTAATTATCCTTTCACTGTTCCACGTTCTCCTGCAAATATCACCCTCCTTCTGGCCCGAGTTTTTAAAATATTTGCTCCCCCCCTTTAATCAAGATCATGAGGGATAGTATCTATTTTATTTTTATTACAAGTTGTCTTAAATGACCATCTTCAGGCTACTTTTATTTTCTATTCATTAACTTTGACTTATATTTATTAATTCTCTCTTCATGGCTAATTTAATTTGTCTTTTTCCTTAAGAAGTTACTTAATCAGAACCAATTAAATAAGAAGACTCGGTGCATTTATTTGAAGTCCTTCTTCTAAAGGCACCTTCAGGGCTATAAATTTCCCTCTCAGGGTGGCTTTAGCTGTGGCCTCTTTTAGGGAGGCTGTCTGTTCTGCTGCCTCTGGAAGGCCCAGAGTCAGCGTGGCTTATTTCCTCTGTTCTAACCGACTAGAGAGAAACTGCGCTTACTCTTTCATCAGTAAATACCTTTTTCTTATTTCTCATTTTACAGGCTTATTATAGGGAGAGAATGTGGTCTTTTTTTTTTTTTTAATGAAGATATCCTTTGTTCCAAGCATAAAAACCAAGACTGTTGTTTGTGATCTTCCCATGGGCCCAAGAAGGACTGGCCATGAGGCCTGTAGAACACGGTCTTGCTTACACACATGCAACTACACTGTGGACACAAGTGACAGGGACACGCCTGAGATGGGTGAGGAGGTGGCCTCAGGGAGTTCACAGACACATGGAGTTGATCCGCCCCGGTGACTTGTGTGCCCTTTGGACCTGCTCTGTCGTCCCTCCAATGACGCCTGTCTGCCAAATCTACACGGGGCACAGCACAGGGCTTGCTGTGCCCCCCTGCGACCTGCTGCTCTGGGTGAGCACAGCCCATAGCCCAGCTCTGCCACTGGCTCCTGCCTGCCCGTGTGACCTGGGCCAAGCTACCAAGCTACCTGTGCCTCAGTGTACCCATCCGTGCCACAGGGACACAGGCATGCCCCTTCTCCTGGGAGTGCTTCTGTAAATGAGTTAGAACATACTGCTGTGCCCAGCACCTGGCCCAGTTACACACACATACACCAGGGCTTCTGGCCTGTATGCTCCCCAAATT